ACAAATCAGTCCAGATCTGCCCAAGAGGCAGGATTTTCTGGAATATTATTAGCAGTGAAATTGTTGCATATTTTCAAGCATGCATTGTAACCTGATTTGAAAGCCTGTTTGAACATCAGACATTGTGGCAATGGCAAGATGGTCCAGCCATATGAATACAATCTTAAAATATCATAAAAACAATACAATTTAAGGCCAGACAGCCCAACTCCTGCGAACAGCCCTTTATTACACATCCGAAGCATCTCTTGAGGCATCAAAGTACTGTACATGCAGGCATATGGAATTACATACGAGTATGTGACATAAGCCCACCATTGCACAACTTTGTCTGCAACAATGCAAATACAACAAATGCAAATACAATCAAGCTGGAAACGGATTTTATCAGTATTTTGATATATACATTATGGCTCATTTCTAAAGACACCTGCACTTTCATATTGAAATTGTTCTAATATCATCCAAACAAAACACATCAGAAAACTGTAACATCAGCCAAATGAGCAAATCACTTTTTTAACACAATTTATGTTAAAATGAAGCAACATGTAATAGTATCTGAAACAAAACCAAATCACATATTATTCAAAAGTTGTAAACACTGTTGGCGTTGCATATATGATATAACAAAATATCGTCGCATTTCTAGTGGTAACTAACTATATATTAGGCCAATTTAAACTCGACTATGAAGAATATCAAAAACTAAAGGTCATGTTTCAGTTTATAAATCCAGACTTTAGCTTTATAAATATAAACATTATAAACGCTATACGAAGCCAAATATGAAGGCACATTTTGCCCTAAATACTCGGTCAGAGCCTCAGAGGTGTGTTCTAGTACACAATTAATCTTCTCTCACAGTTTAAAACAAACAATAATACTAACCTTCGACAAATTGTGTATAAATCTTATCGAATTTAACCATTTTGCCACAGATTTTGCCAAAAATATTTCTTAGACGGCAAAGTATGATAATGGTCACTCCTTGCATGAAATGTTAATTTATCCCAAAGTTTGAATAAATTAATCCAAAATTGCATTATTTGCATAATAATGTACTTGTCATTGACCAATCAGAATACATAGAAGACCGGCCGGTGCCAGGGCCTTTTCCCGTTTTCCCAATGACAAAAAGGGAAAAGCCCTGGGAACGAGGTTCTTGACTCTACTATTTCAGACTCGGAAATACACATAAATAATTATGCAGTTATCAGCTAGGAAGGATCGTAATAGAAATGGGGGCGGAGTCGCCTTTTTTATCAAAAATACTTTATCTTATTCTGAAAGGATCGATTTAATTCCAGACTCAGGGAACCTTGAAATTATTTGCATTGAAATTAGTAAAAGATTTTGTGCCTCTTTCATTGTAAGTAGCTGGTATCAGCGACCTAACTCGGAACTTGAACTATTTGATAATTTCGAACTTTTTTGTTTAAGTGTGACTTAGAAAATAAGGAACTGATTCTTGTTGGAGATATGAATTGTGATTTCTGCAAAATGCCATCTGACCCACACTCTCGTAGGTTGCAGTTTTTGTGTTCTATGTATCAGCTTTCACAATTAGTTGATGAACCAACGAGGGTTACTGAAAATTCAGCTACATTAATTGACCTTATTTTAACTAATAGACCAGAAAATATACTGAGGCCTGGAGTTATTCACCTTGGAATTTCAGATCATAGTTTGATCTTTGCCGTGCGGAAATTCAAACTCCAAAAATGTAATCCTACTACTAAAGAAGTACGTAATTTTAAACATTTCTCAGTTGATGATTTTCGCAGTGACTTACTACAAGTTCCCTGGGATATGATATTTATTCTTTATAATCCTAAAGCATGTTGGATACTATGGAAATCGTTTTTCGATGAAATCCTAAATAAACATGCACCACTTTGCAATTGAACGAGTTGGATCTAGATAATCTCGCTGGATTACACCAGCCATTAAACAATTAATGCGTAACAGAGATTTTCACACAAAAAAGCCATTAAATTTAATTCTAGATATCATTGGAGCAAATATCAGAATTTACGGAATAAAGTAAATATAGAAATGAAATTAGCAAAATCCCATTTCTATCAATGCGAATTTGAAAATTGTTTTAAATCAAGTAACCTTAAAAAAACCTGGTTGCTGGTCAATTCTCTTATTGGTAAGAATAACAAATCCAATATCAACGAAATTATAGTAAACAATAATACTATTTCCGATCCAAAAATCATTGCTGAATCTTTTAATGACTATTTCGTTAACATTGGCCCTAAGCTAGCATCTGAAGCGAGCAGAAAATTTCATGATGAAGGTTTGCCAAACAATTGCAGCGTTCTGGCTCCATATCGAATTCGCCATTCTGCTTTTTCGAAATTAGTATGGAAAATGTATCCATGACTCTCCGCAATCTAAATGCTAACAAATCTACTGGACTGGACAAAATACCAGCCAAAATCCTAAAATTAGCATTCTACATTATCGCTCCGTCGCTAACGTTTATATTCAATTTATCACTTGCGACTGGCATCTATATGTTGACGACTGGAAACGTGCTCGTGTAACCCCTATTTATAAATCTGAGGATAAAAAGAAATGCGAATATTATCGGCCGATTTCAATATTGCCAATTATAAGCAAGGTTTTTGGAAGAGAGGTGTTTTGTCAATTGTACCATTACCTCTCTGAGAACTCTTTGCTTTTTAGATATCAATCCGGATTTCGCCCTAAGCATTCAACATTATCAGCACTGATACAAATGTGTGATGAGTGGTTGCAAAACATGGATAACGCAAATTTGAATTGTGTAATATTTCTTGGCGTTCGAAAAGTGTTTGACTCAATAAATCATGAAATACTACTGCAAAAATGCATGACCATTTTCGCATAATTGGCACTGAGCTGGAATGGTTTAAATCTTACCTAACCAACCGGGAGCAACCGTGTACGGTTAATGGCCAGATTTCGTCACCTAAGAAAACAGTTTGTGGAATCCGGCAAGGTTCGATCTTGGGGCCGTTGCTGTTCCTACTATATATAAACGATATGCCTAAATCTTTAAAATTTTGCACTCCCTCTATGTATGCAGATGACATGGAAATTTATACATCTGCTAAAGATGGTGACGAGCTGGTCGCGAATATAAAGTCTGATCTTGAAAATGTCCGTAAATGGATGTTACAAAATAAGCTTCAAATTCAACCAACAAAGACAAAACATATGTATGTACATTGGATCGTCTTTTAATATTAAAAACAAAATTTCTCAGAACCCAATTTTAATTTATAACGTACCAGTCCCCAGGACGGAAAACTACACATGCCTGGGTGTTGACCTGGATGGAAGGTTTAATTGGGAAAAACATATAGATAATATTTGCGCGACAGTTGGGGCTGGAATTGGAATTATGAGAAGAATGAAGCCTTTTGTACCAGTAGAAACACTTAAGCTAATATATAATGCCCTGGTGCAACCGTACTTTGATTATTGTAGCCCTCTTTGGGACAATTGTGGAAGTGGTCTTATAGGGAAATGCTTCAAAGATTGCAGAATCGCGCTGCGAGAGTTATAACGGGGTATACTTTTGATATTCGATCTGTTGATGTGCTGAATATGTTAGGTTGGGAATCCTTAGACCATGCAGAGACGCAACTATACAAAATCTATTTGGATTTATGAAATAATTAATGACCATGCCGCCCCAAATTTAAAACAACTATTTCGACGATGCAGTGAAGGTGATTCCCCTTATGATCTTAGGAATCGTGAAACTGATATTAGTATTACCAAAACCAAAGAAAGAATTTCTTAAAAGAAGTTTTAAATACAATGGAGCTATCCATTGGAATAATCTGTCTATTGAAGCAAAAAGCGCTGATTCCGTTTATTCATTCAAGAGAATTATAAAATCTACGGCGAAGTGTAGCTGACCTGTCCTCAATAATATTTATTTGTTTCGTTTATATATTTTTGTCTACCTGTTAGTCTTTGTATGCTTCATGTAACTT